CAATTTACATGCAATCTATGTAATTAGTTATTTTTTTTCGTTTATATTTAATACTCCATGCATGTGTCCAAACGTTCGATGTGTGTTAACGACGAAATTTGGTATGCCCGAAGTTATCATCGGCCTAAAGTCAGTATCGGCTTCAGAGTCCTGGAATCGGCCGATGAGAATTACCAAGTCGCCAATAGCCGAATTCCTGCTATATTCGGTTAAGGAAATTAATATATTAAAGGAAGCTTATCCAGAAGTGACCGAGTTCAAGGAGGATGCAGCACGACAAGTTATCTATTAATTAGAAATAGTTTGTTAGTTTCCTTTTATCTTTAGGAAAATGTGTTTAGTGTCCTATAAGGACTTTATGTTTTCCTTTTATCTACTATTTGCATATCTTGTCTGTTGCAGGGTCAAACTGACTGGCACGCCCGTATCTCGTCAACCTTTGGACCTGCACTAGAGCTAAGCAAATCTCCAAGGCCAGTGTGTGTTTTTTGCATCAACACATTTTTGGCATGCCCGATGGGACCCGAATTTCGCACCCAACATGTCTGAAGAGGAAGTCAATACCAAGAAGGAACAATCTCCTGAGCCGATAGTTGAAATACTTCAAGATACAGTTGATGAAGCAGTTCATCGCGCATTGTTTAATCAATCTGGAGTTTTGGCGGATACGTTACAAAATTTGATCAAGGTATCAGTTGACGATTTAATTATCCAGAAAAGCCAGCTCGGGGGGCAGATTGATGAACAACAACAGTATCGGCTTGGGGGCAAGCATATCAGTATCAACATGATGGGCTATATCAATATCGGCCAGACGAACTTCATCAATATGGGCATGGTGAAGAATGCCAATATAACAATGATTGGGCCGATAGAATTGCAAAGATGATAGAAGAGCAGTTTGGAATTAAACCTAAGGAACATATTTCTGTATATCGACTGTCATATCATAAGTGATTTGATAGGGTTCTATTGCCACACCAATACAAGGTTCTAGACTTCTCCCAATTTTCAGGGCAAGATGATATATCTACAATGGAACACATCAGTTGATTCTTAGCGCAATGTGGGGAAGCATCGGCTGAGGAAGCTCTGAAAGTTAGATTTTTTCCGTTGTCTTTGACTGAATCGGCTTTCACATGGTTTTCATCGCTATCATCAAATTCTATCAGAGGGTGGGCCGATCTTGAGAAGCAATTTAATGACTACTTCTTTGCTGGAATCAATGAGTTGAAGCTTTCATACTTAATATCGGTTGAGCAGCAAGAAGGAGAATCGGCTATGGAATATATTCAGAGATTTCGTAATGTCCGCAGCCGATGTTATGGTTTGAGCCTAAATGATGAGCAACTAGCAGATCTCGCATTCCAAGGATTGTCAACACCTATCAGAGAGAGATTCTTTTGCCATGAGTTTGACAACCTGGCTCATCTAATGCAAACAGTATAGGCTCATGAAAGCTGATTACAATAAGCAAAGGAAGATCAGTTTTGTAGTTATCAAGACAAGAAATAAGATAATTTTGAAGCATGAGTTTTCATACTCCAAAACTGGGGGGCATGTGCTAACGATCAAATTTGGTAAGCCCGAAGTTATCATCGGCCTAAAGTCAATATCGGTTTCAGAGTCCTGGAATCGGCCGATGAGAATTACCAAGTCGTCAATAGCCGAATTCCTGCTATATTCGGTTAAGGAAATTAATCTATTAAAGGAAGTTTATCGAGAAGTAACCGAGTTCAAGGAGGATGCAACATGGCAAGTTATCTATTAATTAGGAATAGTTTGTTAGTTTCCTTTTATCTTTAGGAAAGTGTGTTTAGTGTCCTCTAAGGACTTTATGTTTTCCTTTTATCTTTAGGAAAGTTTCTTTCTTGTCCTATAAGGACTAGTATCTCCCCATGAGTATAAATATGTACACCCAGGGTCATTGTAATCAATCACACGATCAATACAACTACTCTCGGCGCATCGCCATCCTCTTTCTTGAGGTTTTTACTTATCATCCGACGGAATTTGGCAGCTGACGCGGGGCTGCATCGGCTTTCGATCTCCGGCGAAGAGGTAAGTCCTACGTTCTACCAGCCCTGGTGAATCTATCGGCTACATTGGTGTTGTTCAAGGCTGCATCGCTTCAATCTCTTGGATCGCTCTGGTTTGGTTGATATATTTGCCTACCTGATATCTCAATTATATCTCTAATTACATTGTGTTTAGAGACACATCGGTTTAGTTGGGACTGTCTCGGTTAGGTCCGATCTTCTATCTTAGCCGATATATCTCTACAATCACAATGTTGTTCTAAATAGATTTGTTATATCTATCACATTAGACAGATCTATTGGCTCATCGAGTATTAGATTACTATATACAATCTCGTGCTGCATCGGTTAGGTTCAACCTACTAGATTGTTGTTGATAATATAGGTCTTGTTAAGCCGATCGGTTCATGCTAATATTTTATCGGAGTGCTAGCCGATAAGTTATCTAGATGTTGCATCGGCTTATAAGGATTGCATATACATATAAGTTCGATTTAGCCGATGACAACAAAGGTTTAATTGATCTATCTAATCTTGTGGATTTTATGACATCAGACCTCCAGCCGATGTATGCTTTAACCTTCGGATCAGTACTTGTTCTATTATATCATAATGTTGGCCGATTGGTTTATACTGGATTATATTATTATTATTTATCATCATCAGCCGATCGCCTTTATATCATTATCTACATTGGACATATAGCCGATTGTTCAAAACCCTATCGCTATCAGCTGGTATCGGCATCGGCTGGAATTGCTCCATCGGCTTGTCAGCCGATCGGCTTATTGATCTACTATTTGCATATCTTGTCAGTTGCAGAGTCAAACTGACTGGCACTCCCGCATCTCGTCAACCTTTGGACCTGCACTGGAGTTAAGCAGATCTCGCAGGCCAGTGTGTGTTTTTCGCATCAACAATATGACAAGGTGAAAAATTTTAGTGTGGGATCTAAACAGGGCCTTAGGTATGTTACTGATCAATATGGGCTATCCATTTGTCACATCAATTTTTTGTCTGTAAGTCCAATCGAATGATGTCCTCCGTTCTCACACGCGCGAGTAACACATTGGGTAAGGTGGATAAAAAAATTCAAAGATAAATATGAAATCCTTTGTCACTGCCGGATCTGCTCTCGGGAAGCCGCCGTCGGATCCGCCCGTTGGAAGCCGCCTCGTCGCCGGATTTGCGCCGACACTGCCGACGTTGGATCCGCCCGCAACAAGTCGTCGACTTCGTCGTCGCCGCTGGATCCGCATGTTGAAGCCGTGGGAGGACGCCGTCACTCGTGGTGGGGGAGGGAGCTGCCACCGCCACCCATATTAAGGAGGGCGACGCTGCTGTTGCTCATGGAGGGGAAGGGCGCCGCCCCCGCCGCCGCCACACATGCTAAGGGAGGGCACCGTGCCATCGCTCATGATGGGGGAGTGCGCCATCGCTCGCGGTGGGAGAGAGGAGGAATGAATTTAAGGTTAGGGTTTTAACAGGCAATGTTTATCTAAATCACGAGTGATCCTAAGTTCCTAACCGTTCTATCGAATCCAACGACTCTCAGCGCACCTATGTCGACTTGTGCCATGACCTGTCACATGGGCCCAGTGCACTTAACAGGCCGGTCACAACATCCTTCTAATTATGAGACTAATTGTGTTTTATTTATTTTCAACCGATTTAAACTATTTTTCCGTTAACAAACTTAGTTCAAGCACTATTTTTAGCCATTAAAAATTACTTAAATTTGAAATATGTTTTCATTCTTCATATTAAATTATTTCTAGCTAAATGGAGTCAACAAAAATGTAATTATTTCTTTGTCATGATATAGAATTAGGTATAGATTTAATTCATTATTTATGTCCATGAATATGCCATATCCTAATTCCCATGAAACTATAAAATAACTATAATTATTATCATAACATTAGTTTTTCCCGTTGCAACGCACGGACACCTTTAATTTTCTAGTCTCTACTATATAAAAATTGAAGATGTTTCAGCCGAAACTTTGGTGCTTCATCCGTGTTTAAGTTGGTTTTAAGCTAGTTATATGTCACCCATATCCAATTCCACGCACGTGAGTCTAGAATAACTATTAAACACCACCATCCCATCCCAATCCCTCTCTCTCCCAGTCTAACCCAACCAACCCAACACCATCCCACCGTCCATCTCGCGCTCCTACACTTGGGCGCCACGCACACCCCTCCCCTAATCAGCTTGTTTTTTTCTCTTCCTTTTTTTCGTTTTCTTTTTCTTCTTTTCTTTTGTGCCGATAATCTTGATTATCTCCCTCTCCTTTCAATCTCCTCTCTTTTCTCCTCTTTTTATCTTGTTTTTCTCCTGGAATATCTTCACCACCTACTTTGTAGAAAAATCTTAATGGGCTTCCGTTTTTCATCCATCATCGGTCACAACGTGTGATTATATGGACTTTTGTATCTTTAGTGAATTTTGATATACGAGAATTTAAACGAATTTTAAACAAGGGGAGACTAGTAAAAGAAGAAAGTAATTCAAAAGGGAAAGTTGAATTCGCTTTCAAATTTTCAAATTGAGTTTGCCGAAGTTTTGAGAAAGGAAAGTACGGATCTAAGTGATTTAAGGTATTTTCCCGTTGCAACGCATGGATATTTTTTCTAGTAATTTAATAAATATGGGTGTAATTGGATCATATGTGAGATAATAACTAATTTAAGGGAAAATATTTGAAACTCGTTAGAGCGATACACACACATGCATGCATGCATAGGAGAGAGAGAGGGGCTGGCGTGTGCAGGCTATTCACAGTGAAAGAGGGGCACTGCCTGTAGCCATGGGACGCCCAATTTTTCTCTTGTGATCGAGTGCCCAAGAACAAGCCAGCACTTTTCCTATGTATCAATTGATGGTGGAAACGGAAACTAATTAGCAGTTTAGTTAACTTCTACTTTATATATATAGGGATGTCGTATTGATACGCACCTTGTTATTTGCATGACCACGATGATGGTGACGAACCAAAAGTCCTTGGGCTTTATCAGGGTGGAGAATCCACCTAGCAGCACAACGGTGGCCCAGGCAAGTGCCAGCTTCCCGAAGCCGTCCATCAACCTAAAGTAGATTGCAAGCCAGAGGACTGTTATGTTTAACTTACTTGTATCTTCTGGCAGCTGGTCCTTGCCTCCTCCGTTCTCAATCCCAGCTGCTTCCTCCTGCTGCTGTGAAGCCCTCGTCCCGGCTGCCTCCGCCATCGCTGCAGGAGCAGCACTGGGCGACTGGCTCGATCGATCTACTCCTACCTAGCAAAGAGTACACACTATATATATGGAGTAATCATATATATTTCTCGGTTCTTGATATATATATATATATATATTAATAGTGACTCTTGGGAGGTAGATCGATCTGCGAGTCGTTCTATAGTTATGCAAGTTGGCAAAGTCTTCCTTTGCCCTGGAACTTAATTAATTAGCCAATGAGCAGGGCGTACATGGACATGATATAAATCATATGGAAGACCTACTCTTCGACCGGTATCTTGGAATCTGCAGACAGGTCTTCTTTACAAAGTCACAAAGTTAATTTAAGAAAAAGACGGCGACCAGGAAGTAGGTCTTTACCAACTTTGAGAAGAAACAAAACACCCTGTTGCAAATTGCAATACAATAAATTAAATATGCTAGTGTGCAAGCCAGTGGAGGATTAATTAGCCGTTCAGTGATGATGAGGGTGCTCTCTCGTTTTTCTTGGCACGAGGATAACTCCCGCTTCCATCCAAATACGATGCTAACAAAACAGCTACGACTAAGGGCTTGTTCGGTAGTTGGGGTTGTTTTTCCCCAGGGAAAATACCACTAGGCAGGGATTGGGTGGATCCCCTCCCACCACCCAATCCCCACGTCAATCCCCTTCACCGTGGGATATAATCCCCTTAACCCATGGGATCTAAGTATATTATTGGTGTGGTAAATAATAGTGAGTGGTGAGATATCATATCAATTTAATAGTCTCACTCCAGAAATTTCAAAATATTATGCACATAATTCGAAATACGGCACAAACAAAATATAATTTTTCAGGAAAATACAGAAAAAAGATATATAAGGAGATCACATCCAACGGAAATCCCCCATATTGAGCCTTTGGTGGTCTTATTGGCGCATACCACGGTGGGGTCTTCGACTGGGGTGAAGTCGTAACAAGATAGCCGTAGGGGAACCTGTGGCTGGATTGAATTCATCAATTTTTGAATTATGGACTTGGCGGTAGTGGTCAATACTAACTGCACCGTCTAAATGCTCCCTGACCAAGTTAGCGGGATGTTTACTATTGATTGGTTATAGGCCTTCCTTCCAAGCATCAAAGAAAGAAAAGAGCAAAGCAATTCCATCTTCTATTCGCTGGGATCAAGCTTTTCCTCTGCAGGGGCCTTGTGCAATAAACCCCCTACGGGCGGTCACCCATCGTCGTAAAGTAGTAAAGGTCCCCGCGCCAGTGGTAGTGAAGTTCTCACTCCACGTCGGCCGGCCGCCATGAGGTTTTCCGAAAATGCCTAGAAAATTACGAAAATTGTAGAAAATTAAAGAAATACTGAAGACCTGCTGCAAAATCCATGTCGTAATTGTTACAATATTGCAAAAAAAAAAAGGCAACCAACATTAAGAGCCAATACACATTGAGATTTAGGACACACAAATATCTCTCCCAGTTACCAGTATCAAATTGAACAAGACATAACTTGAGCTTCATTGCCTTAATAGTTCTATCTAGTAACAACACTTTCCGACATACATCATAATACATTTCCTTGCATCATTGTTGCAGCAAACAAAAGGCCCGTGGACATCACATATCAGAAAACTGCACACCAAAACAATATGTCAAAGTTAGTATAATTATTTGTGTCAAAAGCCTGACAGGCACCTGTAAATACACTTCTAAAAATTCAGCTAACTGTTCATTAATAATCAGCTAACTGCATACATGTTCATAATCACAGAAGGAACATTTCGTCAAATCTTCAGCCCATGACCAGCCCCATCTAATCTAACTTTTGATTGTAAGTAATTCCTCTACAATTTTATTTAATAACTTAGAGACTATCCACATGAATCAGACATAATTAATTCTTATTAGTACCATAGTAGCATATGCACCTTAATCAAAAATTAACTAACTACATGCCACAAGACAATTCAACAGATCCTTCAAAGAAACATGCACCAAATCTATTTCTGGATTTAGGATAGTAGGAGTACCAAGTACTAACTGGGAGCCAACAATATCATGGAAAAACATGACAATCTTACCCCACTTTATTTTCTTTTTCAAACCAACAATATCATGAAGAAACAGGACAATCTCATAATACCAGGATACTAGTGACCAACATGGTCATGCATGCTTCATCTGTGATTAGCCAACATGGTCATCCTTGAAGTTCCTCTGAACAGCTCCAGAGGAAAAACGGGATGACAATCCTTGTGCCATGTTCTCAGGATCTAAATTGACATTTTGCCGCCCAGCAGTCAGGTCCTTCTCGCGGTCACAAGGCTTCCATGGGTGGTTGATGGTTCCCTTCCCTTTCTTCTTTCTCTCGTTGCTTCTGCTTCTTTTCTTTTTTTCCTTTTTGCTCTCTTTATGCTTTTGCACGAGAGATACTGATCGTTTGGAGGAATTGTATTTATCCACCAATGAAGCGTCTGAGGTTTTACTCTTTTCATCATCTGCATCTGCAATTTCCTTTGCTTTGTTGTATAGGCTTCTAATTAAGTAGCTGTGACAAGCACGATAATATTATTCCATGTAGATCATTACATTCATAGTGCATAAAGGGCATCGTACGTACTAAATATCACAAACAAATTTGTCATTAGAAAGACAGAAACTCCTGTTTTCACATCTTCCTAAGTTCAACCGGGCCTATTTAAGAACAATCACCTAAAAGATGATGTTCTTTACCAAACGCTGCATTCAAGATTTCAAGGTTGAAGGAAACATCCTTCTCTTCCTCTTCCAACTCCCTCTCCCTCCACGGAGTGCGCGGCGAAGGCGGCGGCGAGCTCGGGCGTGGGCGGTGGCACCCGGGAGTGGGCGGCGGCTCTCGGGCGTGGCCGCGAGAGGAGCTCGGGTGCACGGGGAGGCCGGATCCACCGCCGCCGGGCCTCGGGGAGGCCGGAACCGCCGCCGCCCGGCCGTGGGGAGGCCAGATCCGCCACTACCGGGCCGCGGGGAGGCCAGATCCGCCGCCGCCGGACCACGGGGAGGGCAGCACCGACCTCGGTGCCGTCGACCATGCTGCTCGTCTCCCTCCTCTCCGACCTCGACGCCGTCGACCGTGCTCCCGCGGCTCCCTCCTCCGACCGTGCTGCTAGATTTGATTTTTTTTTTCTTTTTTTTTTGCATGTTATTCCAGATGATGCACATGTTTTGATCTGTGTAAATGATGTTTGATCTGTTTGATCTGTGCTGATGATGATTTTGTATTTCATGTTTGAATTTGGAAATGAGCGGCGAATCTAGATATGGATTTGAATTTTAAAATTAATGAATCAATGGGCAGCTGCATGGGTATTTCTTTTTGGGCCCAAAATAGACTTTCACTGGAGGCCGATTTAACATAGCCGCCAGCAAAAATCCATTTTCGCTGACGGCCGTCTTAAGCCAACGCCAGCGAAACTGGATTTTTACTGGCGGCTGGCTTAAGATGACCGCTAACGAAGATCTTGATCTTCACTGGCCTTTGCTTTGTGGCGGCTGCTCCATTTTTTCTTGCGGTCAATAACCGCTAGCGAAGATCTTGATCTTCACTGGCCTTTGCTTTTTGACGGCTGCAAAATCCGCCAGCAAAAATTCAAAATGGCCACCACGAAAAATGGTTTTCATAGTAGTGAGATGACCATTTGAGGTAGTTTAGCTACTATCAAAATTGGTGTAGCCTATGATTTGACATGACTCACCGAAAAAAAGAAAGATAAATCGTTATTTAAATGAGGAACCAATTCAACTGATAAAGCTTCTTCATTCCTTACCTCCAGCCCCACCTGCTATCCAAACCTCCAATATAGCCTGACCCGAATCGAAGGCACACTAAACACTGCTAATCCCCCTACTTTAGAAAAGCCTGGTCACCCATCTCTCCTCCCATGAACAATGAATCATCGCGCAGAGTAAGGTAGAACATGATTACCATGGCCAGCCAAAGGGGACCCGAACCACCACGTAGAAAGACAAATCTACCTTTTTAAATTTTACGAAATTTTATACTGTAATCTACTCTCTCCGTTTATAAGTCGTTTGACTTTTTGTTTCTAGACCAAATTTTTAGAAAAATATAGTATTATTTAAAAAAACAAATATATATTATCAAACTATATTCAACATTAGATTTAATAAAACTAATTTCATATTTTAGATGTTTTTAATTTTTTCTATAAACTTGATTGAACTTTACAAAATTTAACTAGAAAGAAAGTCAAAACGGAGGGAGTAATTAATTGGAAGATCAAATCGGCCTATAAAGTTAGATCATTTATAATGGCAGCATACTACTCGTATATTGTAGCGTAAAAGTTCTGTAATATTATAAGGCTAATAAATAGCTTAGAAAAAAAATATTTAATTGGTACTAAAATGTAAAGTTATAGAAGAAAGTGTATTTTTAGAAGTGTATAAAACATGAATAATCCATCCATAATCTATGTCGCCATTATGAGAAATTCTGATGCAGGACTAATTTCTACCGGAATAAGTTCACCTGCCATCCCTTATTTTTTTGACATCCCTTATCCTCAATATCAGAAATCTTTACCCCTAAACTATATAAAACCGTGCAATTTAGGTCCCATAGTAGTATAGATATCTAGTTTCACTGACGTGGCATCCTAGTTAAAAAAAAAGTATATGGGAGCCCACATGTAAGTGAGAAAAAATAATATGGGACCCACGTCTCTTTTTTCTTTTCTTTCTTCTCCTCTTCTCTCCTGCTCTCTTCTCGTGAGGTCGCCGGCGGCAGAAGAGGGAGAGACGGCCGGCAAGCCCAGCCGAGCTCCGCCACCTCGAGAGGCTCTGCCGCCGCCGCACCCGACGGCGACGACGACGCTCACGTGCGAGGCTGCTGGATGCTGGCCTCTTCTTCCCCCTCTCTAGTGTTCACACCTATGATAACTAAAGAAGGAAGGCTCACGACAGTAGGTGAACTTATTCCTGTCGAGGGCGGTGCGGCCGAAATCGAACGCTGCGGTGGCGATGTGGAGGCATGGTCGGAGCGTGGCGAGCCGGGGCTCCCTGCAGTTGGGCAGCAACGAGCGCCTACCTGTGACCCCAAGACGGTGTCCTCTGGAGTACCCAGCCATCGAGAAATAGCCTGGGATGATCGTGCCAGACGGTGGCGGCAACCGAGGAGGACGGGACCGACGGCCGCAGGGCTATCCATGGTGATGGCGCTGCTCGCCGGGTCACCTAGTCACCCGGTCATCACCGGCATCTTCGACGGTGGCGGGTCGTCGTCCATGGCCAAGACCGCCAAGATTTCATCGCGTGGAGGCGGGGATCGCAGAAGGAGGGGTGGATCCATGGCGATGAGGGAGAAGGCGCCGCAAGCTTTTCGATGGAGGAGCTACCCAGCCACCTTATCGGGGAGGTCCTGACCTCCGGCCGCCTCGCCGCCGGGAACCTCGCGAGGCTTGAGGCCACATGTCTCGTGCTCTGCCCGCTCGCCGAGCACGCCGTGTCAAGACTATGCGTCGCACGTGCGGCACTCGCGGCCATGGGCCCTGGCCCGCCACGCGCGGGGAGCTCCTGGAGAGGTGCAGCGGCAGCTGGAAGAAGGTGCTCAGGTTCCTGCAGTCCGTCGAGCAGTCGTCCGGCACTGTCCATACCTCCTCCGGCCGCTTCTCTCGCCCTCTCCCTCCTAGGCTCGCCGGCCTCCTCTCCTCCCGGTGCCCCTCACCCCCCCCCCCTCGGGGCGGTTGCTTGGGAAGAAAGGAGAGAAAGATGTTGGTGGCGCGGGCCCCACATATTTTTTTTATTTTAACTTTGCTGAATAGAATGCCATGCCAGCGAAACCGGGCATACAAACTGCTATGGATCTAAATTGTACAGTTATGTATAGTTTAGGGGATGAAGGTTTCTAATATTTAGAATAAGGGATGTCAAACAAACTTGGTGGTGAACTTGTTCCATTTCTACCTGAAAACATGGGCTTCGGGCTTCTGCTGGTTGACAGGGATTGGATATTTGGGCCTTCGTGGGCAATATAAAGGGCATAAGGCTTCCAAGTGCCAACCATGGCGTGACGGCACCGGAGACACGGGGCCACGACTGCGCCCGCGCAGCTAGTGGCTGAACCGGCGGAGACAGGGGATTTAGGAATGGCCAACTCTATATATGGCCAAAGGGCCCGCCCAGCACGGCCCGGCCCAGGCATGGCTGGGCACGGCCCAGCAGTCATCGGGCCGGCATGACCCGATAGGCACTTCGTGCCAGGCCGTGCCGGCCGATGGGCTGCACCTCCCGTCCAGGCACGGCCCACCAGCTGTCGGGCCGTGCCGTGCCGGTCCGAAGGCATGGGTGGCCCATCGGGCCTTTTTTAAAATAAGTCTATTTTTCGTCCCTCCTCTTTGGGCTATTTCATATGTATAGGTAAAATAAGTCTATTTTCCATCCTTCCTCTTTGGGCTGACATATGTATAGCTAAAATAAGTCTATTTGCCGTCCCTCCTCTTTGGCTGACATATGTATAGATAAAAAAAAGTCTATTTTAGATCCCTACTCTTTCGTCCATGGCATATAATATGTCTATTTTTACTCCCATATTTTTTTTTATCGGGCCTAACTGCCAACCCATCATGCCGGGCCGGGCCAACGTGCCGGTGGAGGGGCCCAGGCATGGCCCGGTGGTCGGGCCGGGCCGGCATGGCCCGGTGGTCGGGCCGGGCCGGCATGGGCCCGACCTCCGTCGGGCCATGCCGTGCTTGGGCCGGGCCAAAATGCCGTGCCATGGGCCGGGCCGTCGGGCCTCAGGCCTTTTGGCCATCTATAGCCAACTCGTGGATGTGTGAATTGCAGTCATAATTAGTTCTGAATGTTTAATATGTAGACATGTACTCACAATTACAACCGTATCACTGACTTGCTGTGGCTGACCGGCACTCGTGTGTTACATTACAACCATTATGTTCTTTTCCATGAGTTCCCGACTCATCTCCCTCATTTTCCGCATGCACACTTTCAAACTGCTAAACTGTATGCGTTTTACAAAAAAGATTATATAGAAAAATTGTTTTAAAAAGTCTTATTAATCCCTTTTTGAAGTTTTTTATAGCTAATACTTAATTAATCATGTGTTAATCTATCGCTCCATTTTCTGTGCGAGGGGGTTCCCAACTCCTCCAAAAGAACACAGCCTACAAATTAAGATGCTAACAAGCCTACAAATTGCTACTCATTTTTTACGTATCTATTATGAGATTAAAATTTGGTAGCCAATAGTCCAATACTGGCTAGCAAAATCATCTCTACTACCCTTATCTTATGCCATAGCTTCAACATGAGCCATTCTTCTATTTTTCGTCCTGATTTGCCACTGAACTACAGCAAATTTTTTTCTTCGATCACTCACCTTTTTTATGGATAATAATATGTTTGTTTATTGAAACGAAACCAGCCGAAGGGCTCCAATTATATTTCAATAAGCGGGGATAAAAACCCAACGGGTTAAATGAAAAGAAAAAACAACTCAACTACACAAGTCTCACCAAACACGAGGCCGGCTGAACAAGCGCAACACACCGAACACTGCACACACCATCCAACCAAACAACCAACAATGGCAAAGCCTAAACATAGGGTATCGTTGCCGAGCTTGCCGCAAAGTAACAAGAATGCTTCGACCACGTAGAATTTATGTTATCGTTGCCGAGCTTGTCACCTCTTGCAACACAGCAGCTCCGACTCCACAGCAAAAGTGTCATCAATGCTAAGCCCATTATAGAGCGATCAAGTAGCTTCCACTTCCCACACGGACATCAGCCAAAGCCATTAAAATCCATCACATAAATACGGCTGGCACACAATGTGTCTTCGTTGCCTAGTTTTATTGCACCCCCAACAACACAACTCTGACTCTACCTTGCACCGCAAGCAAGAAACTGGAACCAAGGCAGCGAAGGCCTCATGAAAACACCTAAACCATTGATGTGGAGGCAGAAGGCCTTGAGCCGAGTAGGAGCAAGAAAACAACCATTAATGCACCAGGAAGGCTCTCCAAAGTGGCAGCACCATAGAGGACATGATGTGAAACGCCGTCGCCGCTTGTCCGAAAATCCAAATCAAGGTTTTCACCCGGAGTGTGGTGTGGTAGGAGTAGGGATAAAACCCCACAATGGCGCCTACAAGGAGGGGATCTGCACCATAGGGCGTCGCTGTCATCAAACCAGGCAAAATCACGTCTAGCTTTTCGCCACCGTTTCCCCATCCAGCCCCAACACCCAAGCCAGCTCAAGCGGACACATAGGACAGTCCGTCATCTCGACGTCGTGAGCTCAACAAAGGCACCACATCTACCCTTGCCACGGAGCTCCCAATGACCCAATATGGAAGCAGATCGACCATAGAAGGGGAGGAGCAACATGGAGGGGAGAATGTTGGCCAACAGAGGGGTGAACGACTTACTGCACACCTGGACCGTCACTGTGCCACCACCAACCACAAAAAAATGCAGTGAAAGGAGAAGGTGATGACCCCGCCACCACGCACCACGTGTCGCCATTCATCGACATGCATGCCCCGAGCCTCCAGATTCAAACACCACCAACCTGGCCAAATCTGGCCAAGGCGGCCATGGATCTGACCCCTCCCTGAAGCTCGGGCCGCCGACCCTGGCCATCCACCACCTTGGAGCCATAGCATGAGAGGGACACCATCGCCATGAGCACCTACTTCGTAGCGCCACCGTGTCGGTGCCATCTCCATCACCGCGAGTGCCCGCCGTGTCACCGTCGCTGCAAGCGAGCGTGTGCTCGGAAACTGGCTCCGCAGCTTACGTCCTAGTGGTCGCGCTAGCCGCCGTCGGCATGCTCAGGGTGGCAGTGAGGAGCAAGGGAGTAGGGAGGAGAGGCGGAGGTGGCGGCTAGGGTTTCGCTGCCCGAACCGGTCCCTCCTGGAGTGACTAGGGGGGCCACAGACCAAAGCAACTCCCACTTGATGTTTTTGAAGTTATCCCACCTAGGACTTGGGATATTAATACGTAGAAGCTGTTTTGTTTGCTCGATGCAAATTCCCTAATCGATGGTTAAAATTTCACCGTAGCAGTGGTTTTTATTCACACAGTAGTGCTGCTTGGTTTTATATTTGTATCTTTTTCTTTGCAATTTTTCCGGTACATTAGAAACTTGAGTGCTTTTGAATCATTCGAAAAGGACTCATGTACTACTTATATATGTGTTATTTCAGCTCTCTTAACCAAATTGTTTTGCTCACTTACCAATGACCACTATAGCACCCATCAAAACATGTTGGATAATGGAAGGCTTACAATCTAAACTCCGGCCTCTTCATACCTATGATGCATACCGACAACAAACCAAGTTCAATACACATTTAACTCAGAATTAGGACGACCCTCAACCAAAACCAACCCATTAAATGAAAAGAGTCTTAAACTCTAATCTTGTAATTGAGAAGATGCATCTCCCTGCACGCGGTCAGACTATCTACCACACCTAGCCAGTAAGAGAAGGCTTATGGACAAAAATGTTGTGACATGCATAACCTGGCATATAGCTAGCTAGTGTTGTAGTTTATGATATTGAATTGAATTTATATTACATAACAGTAGCTAATTGCCACGGAATCAAGTAGCCTACGTTCTTACACCAGCTTCCATATCATTCTCCTCTCGTAAAGTGTGCCACCATCGCATACCACCAATTCTAGATTGGCGCAATGACAGTAAGAAGTCAACAGTGATCTCCTCGAAGCTTAGATATTTGAGGGGCATGAGAAACTCAATGCCTAGAGGGACCTCTTCCATGCTGCTTAGGTTTATTAGTCTTAATCTTTCAAGGCTCACCATGGCACCTTGCTGAATATCCATCCTCTTTAGATTAGGCAAGTCTCTTAAACGTAGAACCTTCAGCTTGGGAAACCATCTAGTAAGGAAGACCAGCTTCTCTCCGTTGTAGGCTCTGGTGAAATGTAGCTCTGTTAGATTTAACAACCGAGAAAGGGATGGCAAGGGATCCTCTTTTAGTTGGGACCAAAATAGGCGCAACGAGTACAGATTTCGTCCCCCGGCATCTTCTTGGAATAGAGGAGACTCTGCACCCAACATGGTGTGTGCCAATCGTCCACTTAAACGTAGTTTATGAAGGCTTGGAGGAAGGGGGTTCAAGCCATCCAACTGGAGAACATCATCCTCATCACTTGCCGTGATACTTAGGTAGGACAAACATTTCATCTGAAGCAGCGACTCATAGAGGCGTTCACAGAGGCTTGCCTTCACTTTCCATAATCTGAGACCTCTCATCTGCCTGAGCTCTCCTAAGCATCTAACAGACTCATCCTGAGCTTCCAGTGCTTGTAGGGATTGTAGGCTTGTCAAGTTCTCAAGGCCCCTGGGGATGCTTACACCAGTGCACCACCTGAAAAGGCGCCGATGTCGATCAGTCTGTTTCTCAGCAAACAAGTGCCTAAGCTTTGTCAGCTTGACAATGCCTCTAGGAAGCTCCAGTATGCTAGATCTGAAGAGGTCTAGTGTTAACAGGTTGGTTAGCTTCTCGATAGACTTTGGGAGAAACTTCACATTTGAACCACGAAGACCTAAATGGCGGAGATTGAATAGATCTCCAATAGCATCTGGAACCGTGCTGATGGGTAGCCCACTTAACTCCAGTATTGACATATATCTGCAATTGTCCACTACTAGACATAGTATGCTGGATGATGATATCATACTATTATCCAATGTAATGACTGATCGAAGACTATGCGCACAAGAAATTTCTTGATCAATGTCCTTATTAAGTTTGTGTACTACCAATCGGCGTTCATCTCTATCCTCATGTTCCCAACGTCTATTATCTTCATCATATGCAACGCCAAAACATTCTCTTCGGCACAAGTCAACCGCCAACTCATGCATGATATCATGCATCCGGAATGATTTTATCCTGCCAAATGAATTCCTGTCAATTAGTTGTAGCATGTTCCTGTTAACCAATTCCTGTAGATACCCTTCAGCCACTTCCTCCATTGTGCTTCTACCCCTCTTACTGATGAATCCCTCCGCTATCCACCACCGTATTAATGCCTTTCTTTTGAGAAGATGATCCTCCGGAAACAAGCTGCAATATAGGAAACAACTTTTCAACTGTGTTGGAAGGTAAATGTAGCTCAAGTAAAGGATATTCCTGACATGTTCCAGGCTTGGATTATTTATTAACTCCCAGTCGAGCTGGTCATGTATTCTCCTCAGTTCCTCTTTGGTCTTGTCACGCACAAAGACAAGCCTGCCAATAGAGACAATTGCCAGAGGAACCCCCTTACACTTGCTAACTATTTGATCTATCAAGTGCAACAGTTCTGCATTGCACTCATGATTTGTCTCCCTTGGAAAAGCTGTTCTACAGAAGAGTTCCCATGATTCCTTCTCACATAGAGGTTCTAATGTTATTCTCCTGTCTGGGAAAGCAAGTTGAGCTACATCATCGATACGTGTTGTCACAAGTATTCTGCTCCCTTTGAGATTAGGAACATGTGCTCCAAACAAATCATTGATTACTTCTGGCGCCCAAACATCATCCAATACGATCAAACACTTCTGGAGCTTTAGGAATCTCTTCAGCTCTTCACGAAAACCTCCAGTATCCATGTCAGTAATGTTACCCCAATTAGTCTTTTTCACATTTCTGGAAAGTTCAGTGATCAAACATTTTAGAACATCCTTGATGCAGTAAGATTGAGAAATCGAGACCCATGCATGACACTGAAACTTTTCTTTCTCCCTCATGTATGCATTTGCTGCCAAGGCTGTTTTTCCAAGCCCTCCCATTCCATGCAGCGTAATTACTGAACGTTCCAACAAATCATCTGCCAGCCACTCTTCAAGTGTTTCTCTATTTTGATTGACCCCAACAAGATCTTCTTCACCAAGGGAGCGTGAAATGCTTGCTAGATGTTGGGACCTCTCAACAATGTAATTTGAGCTGTCATTACTAGGATTATTACCATCACCTACCATCGAAACCCATCGGTCTTTCGCCTAGAATAGGTGCATCAGGTTGGCTTCTGCATCCTTAATGGACAATGCTATCTTGTTTAAAGAGAGCAGAATATTTGGTCGTGTGAATCCTTTCTTCAGATAGGTACTCCATCCAGTATCATGTTTATGGGAAACAAGTTGCAGGTAATCATCCACAGTATCTTCAATTCCATGTGCCAGCATTCTTATCTCTTCCACCCAGATTTCATACGTCTCATTATTGCGATTGCGTACATCCATTCGAGAAAGGAATTGATGTATCAGCCTGAGCTCCCTCTTGATGCGGCCCATGCTTCCTTGAAGCTCTGTTATCTGCGAAACAAACTTTTTGAATTTTGAAGTAGCTTGGTTGATTGCTTCATTTCCCAAGGCAACACAAATCTTCTTCACAGCTAAAAGAATCACGGCTTCAGCCATTAATTTCTCTGCACAAAACTTTGGGGACAGCCAGATTCCGCCCCAGGTATAGCTTGAGTATATAATTTTTCAAATATTTTTTTATGCAGTATAACCTGAAATATAAAGGATTGTCATAAGTGCTACACTTGAATGCCAGACCTATCAAATTCAGTGGTAGACAGGAATTGGATTTTTTATGTGAGAAGAGGGCCTGGAATCTCGGTAAAAGAAATATTCAAACGATTCTGCAATTGAAATAAGAAATTTTAGCTTCAAATAAGAAATTACCTTTTTGGCGTTTTCCTTGGGCTCATCACTGCATATGAAAATGAAGCAATGATACATAGGAAAAAGATACTTTTTAGAAATTCAAGCAAAATGAGTTTACATCTAATTTACAAATTCGGTAAAGTTCAGTTTTAAAGCTGATTTATGTTGACATACCTGCTATTAATCTGACAGTCAGATCCCCATTCCCTGAGCTCTTGAAAACCTCATGCGTTTCTGAGATAGCTGCGTCCCTTAGAAGGATAGTGGTGGTTGCTCTTGCTTCTCATATCAACCTACACTTGTAGTTTCTTAGTTATATCTTTGAAGAACATGACTAGGCTGATGACAGCTTGGTGATGTTTTTTCATCTACTCTCAAAAAAAATTACTCGAGAGTATTGTAATCAAGTAACGTTTAGGAGAGAAACCATGTTTATTCCCTACCATGATTCAGACTGGCTCAATGGTTATCTACCACTTCATCCTAAACTAACGAGAAATTTTTGTTACTGTCTTCAATTTCAGTCAACGGAAAAAAATTAAAATCATATTTTTACATATATATCAAGGTGATCAATTCGGACTTTGCTTGAGGGTGCAATCATGTCGTACCGATCGATCGGTGACGGCAAAAGATTATTTGGTTATTTTGTTCAGTGTCAGCAATCATTTGATTTAGCATTGGGTTACTTTACAAATTAATAAACAGTAGCGTTCCTGTCGTTGCTTTCTGAGAATCAAACAACTTGCCCAGCCGAGAATTGAAGCTATTTTTTACTAATATATGTACTGGTTTTTCTCAGTTAATAACACCAAAATGGTCCTGCTAACACAACTTGCAGATAACATATATGGAAAATGTTGAAACAATTCTTTGAGCTTTGCTCAAATCCATGAGCTCCCAAACAACTACTCTGTCAAAAAAATATCTGATAAAATAACATCATATCTGATCCAGACTTGGTTTTGCAGGGTGGTATTGCTGTGAGTGATAACATGTTAGCCAAGTTGGAGTGAATGACAGGGACCTAATTAACATTTGTGAATAAGATGAGTTGGCAGCGCAGTGGTCGCTCAAGGAAGGCAACAGACCTGATTGCCCCTTGTCTCTCTAATTATTTGTTTGGATACAGATGTGTCCACTGGCCATTTTGGCTAGTGTGGCAATCACGTGGAAACCTACTTATTCGCGTTGTTTCATATTATAAGTCGTTTGTTTTTTTTCTTAGTCAAACATCTTTTAAGTTTAACTAAATTTATAGATGAATATACTAACATTTTCAATACAAACAAACATATTATCAAACATATTTAATGATAAATTTAATGGAACTAATTTGATGTTATAGATATTGCTAATTTTTTTATATACCCTTGATCAAACCTAAAAAACTTTTAAAAAAAGTCAAATGACTTTAATAAACGGAATACAAAAGAAGGCCACGGTGTTAATTGAATCAGATTGCAAAGTAAGGGGGGTCTATTTTCTTACTAAGGAACTGAGCCAAGCTTAGTCGTCCCTTATCTCTTTACCTCTTTGTCTATAAATTCTATTGAAGATAAAATAGAATAGATGGGCTTTAGAAACAGGCTACAAAATTAAACATAGATTGACCCACCGCGTTGAAGGACTGTACAATGTATGGTCATGATTGTATAACTCATCTAATCAAGGGTACACTTTCTCCCAAAAAAAAAAATTCAAGGGTACAAACTTTTTAGTTAACGTGAGGTGTACAATTAGCATAGGTATAAATAGATAAATGCTACAACCAAATTATTAAATATGGATCTTTTGCAAATTGCAAATACCAAAATAAATGAATAAATGGGTTTACTATCCATGTCTTAGCAGAAGTGTTCCATTTGCTTGTGCCACATGACAGCATCAATATCATTGCTTACGACATTTCAGATGGAGCTCTTTTTCCATCCTTGAGGAGGTACTTTTTCTATCCTTAAGGATGTACCATTAAGTACCAGGTACCATTAAACTGTCTGGAAAAGTTCATATACAGTTCAAAACAACCGGTATGCACAGTCGTTCAGTAGAGATAGGTAGCTAGAGCTCTCTCTCGATAATGCAATAATTCATTTCTGGGAAATGGACATGCGAACCCAACCCATCTAACATACGTTACACTTATAACATGGATCATCTTAACATCATAACTAACAAGCATCCTATGCAACCTTACAGCAAATACATACCAGCGTACTGGTGACCAACATGGTGATGTTTCATCTGTGATTAGCCGATCATCTCAAAATGGCTCAGAGGAAGTTCCTCTGAACGGCTCCGGACGAAAATCGGGACGACAATCCTTGTGCCATGTTCTCAGGATCTAAATTGACATTTTGCCGCCCAGCAGTCAGGTCCTTCTCACGGTCCCAAGGCTTCCATGGGTGGTTTCCTTCCCATTCTTCTTTATCCCGCTGCTTCTGCTTCTTTTTCTCCTTTTTGCTTTCTCGATGCTTTTGCACGAGAGATACTGATCGCTTGGAGGAATTGTATGTATCCACCAATGAAGCGTCTGAGGTTTTAATCTTTTCTTCATCTGCATCTGCAATTGCCTTTGCTTTGTTGTAGGCTTCTAAGTAGCTGTGACAAGCACGATAATATTATTCCATGTAGATCATTGCATTCATAGTGCATAAAGGGCATCGTACTGAATAGCAAAAACAAAATTATCATTAGAAAGACGGGCTCTCCTGTTTTCACTTCTTCCTAAGTTCAACCATACCTATTTAAGAAAAAATCACCTCAAAAAAGATGCTTTTTACCAAATGCTGCATTCAAGATTTCAAGGTTCAAGGAAACATCATTTGAAAAGCTAATGGCCGCACCAAATAGAATATAAGGGCCAAAGACTAGCCTTGGCCACTAGCACGAGTGAAATTGTCCACTTCATACCATAATAAATGAATTCCATCACCTTATGTAGCAGATGACCATTCGAGGTAGTTTAGCTACTATCAAAAGTGGTGTAGCCTATAATTTGGCATGTCTCAGTGAAAAAAAGAAAAGATAAATCATTATTTAAATGAGGAATTAATTCAACTGATAAAGCTTCTTCATTCCTTACCCCCAACCCCACCTGCTATGCAAACCTCCAATATCACCTGATCCGAATTGAAGGCACTAAACACTGCTAATCCCCCTACCTCAGAAAAGCCCGGTCACCCATCTCTCCTCCCATGAACAATGTGCAGCTGGAGAAATCATCGTGCAGAGTAGGGTAGACCATGATTACCATGGCCAGCCAAAGGGGACCCACAGGCAACCACAGCTAACCACATGATAAGGGGAGGCTTCGAGAAACTGCCACTGCCAGCACCAGTAGACTGAGCCAGCACGGAACAGGACTATTTGGGCAGAGGAAAACAAATGACAGAGAATAGTGAGAGAGGAAAGGAAAGAAGATAAGAAAGAGTCTTGTAATGTGGACCCATAGACAGTTTTCTAGTTTAGGGGGTAAAGTGGATGTATCTGAACAGTTCAAGGGTTAAATACACTTTGTTCAATCTTTTAAAGTACCCTCCCTGTCCTTAAACAGATGAGCCCCTTGATATCAGGAGCTCAATCCGCTTTCGCCTTTTCCTTAAATAGCCTAGGTAGCAATTTTTGGCCAAAAAAGTTTCTAACCCCTAGGAAGTGTTGACAGTTGACACTATGTTCTCTCCATCTCAGTAACATGCACAGGATGCCAATTAATGCCCTCTACAAGGCAACACCAATATTTGCTAAACTAGCAGGTATGCAAAATATTGATTGATAAAGGTGTGATATCATGATGTGAAAGCTAGTGTCAAAACTCTTACTTCTGTTGTGCTTTTTGAGCTCTTTCAAGAGGAGTATCTGTCCAGACACTTGTATCACCACGTCCTTCTTTACCATTCATACTAAATGACGTAGTCGAATGCATTGGTACTCCAGGCTGAAAAGGAGAGTTAAACATACATGTAAGAGAACACAATAAAATAACCACTTTCTTTTTTTTTCCTTTCAGAAGGAGATAAAACAGTAAAATGAGTATATTTTACTCAATTACTTTTCTTTCAGGAGGCAATGTGGTCATCCATTCATCTCTTTTAGGTGCCTGTGCCTGTTTTGGAACTGCCAGAAGTTCATCATCACCCTCAAGAGATACACCTGTAAACAAAATAACAACAAATATGCCATCATGATAGTTCTTCTAACTATGCTTCCATCTTCAGTTCTTATCAAGAACTTGCTCGGACCAGAATTGTTATGAAGGAGATGAAGTTTGTTAGTAAATTATTAGATTTAGTTTCTATAATATTTGAGACTGGATGTCAAGTCATTCCTCCCTATATATGAAGGCACCCCTTGTACTATATTATCAATCAAGTAATGAATCCCAAAATTCATTTGGAGAGACTTTAGCTCTAAGCCTGAGGCTAAGCCTGCGTTTGTTCCCTCCGTTTGGAGAGACTTTTTGCTCACGCGGAACGAGAAAGCTCATTAGCACATGATTAATTAAGTATTAATTATTATAAACTTGAAAAATAGAAAAAAATATATATTTTTAAACAACTTCTATATAGAAACTTTTTGCAAAAAACACACCATTTAACAGGTTGAAAAGCGTGCTAACAGAAAACAAGGAAGTTGAAGAAAAGAAATGGGCTTTCTTTTGCATAACAGGGAGAAGCCTTGCTGGCGTTATTAGAGGACAAGTGCCCTATAACCCAGTCTTCAGACCCTTACCCTTGAAGAAAAGAACTGGGCCCTCTTTGGACCCTTACCCTATAACCCAGTCTACAACAATATTCAACTCTTTAAATTGCAAAAATCAAATACTCAAATGCTGAACAAACAGAAGATGATGACCAGACGGCTAGGACCTCACAAAAAATTACGGGTTATGAAAGTGTATAGGCCCTCAATAACTGCATGTATCAAATCAAACCACGGAAGACCAACAGTCCAACATCAGTGAAGTTCACAAGATTATCAAAGAGGAATGAACAGTTAGAAGGATATCTAGAATTTTCTCAGCCCTATAATCTAAACCTTACAACAAAGCTATAATCAATTATACCCTATAATTAAAAATTAGACATAAGTGTTGTCAATGGCCCATTATAGGGATTCATATTTGGAGCAGTACATTTGGTTCTTCACGCCCAATAATGTATGCCCCATAAAGAAAATGGAATAGTTAATCTTCTTGCTAAAAGCCTAAAAATACATGTATTTTTTCTGTGTTTATGGCTTTTGGTGTTTTTGTTGATAACTAGACGCTGCACAAACTTACCTTGTAGCCGCCTCCATTCTGCGGCCTCGCGCATTGCTTTAAGCTCGACCTACAGATGAAAAAAAAGGAAAGGTAACAACTATTTTTCATGCAGCTGACAGCAGTATCTGAAATCTTAGTTCAACAAGAAAAGGTGCTCTATGTACATCAATATATGATGCAAATGAGTTTACCTCAAATTGTTCCATCTCCTCTTTCTTTTTTATCTTCTCATCTATCACACCTCTCTGGAACAAAGGGAATAATCCAGAGAAAACATCAGTGTAAAGAAATTTCCTGACATGGTGAACTAGTGTAATAACTTCTTAAAAAAGAAAAACAGTAAAAGTACCAACTGGTATATTAACAAGAACTTGGTTTCTATAGAACAAAAGGCAATAGGTATGTAATAAGTTCTAGACGTAATGAACTTCACACATACTGGAGAGCATTGCTTGTTTGTTATGAAGGTAATACTATCTACAATCTAAATTTTTGGATAAATCAGCAATTT